TGGCTGTGGCTTCATCATGGCACACTTCTCTTAGGGGGCTTGGAGGTTCAGGTACCTGTTTGGCCATGAGTTGGAATTGAATCGACAGCAACGGGTTTGGTTTGTTTTTGGTTTTATACTTAGATATACATACAAAGCAGAGGTTCCTGGATCTTCAACAGCTGCTACACTGAGTGAGGCACCAGTGGCTTTTTGCTCTTTCCTGCTAACTCCTCCAGTCTCAGAACAGTTCTGTCTCAGTTGCGGTCTCTCTGCTCTTCCTGAGAGTCTGGTATTCTCTCCTTCCGCCACTTCTGATTTCTGCTTCTGATTTTGTTCTCTGCCACGCTCTTCTCTGTGATTTTTTCCCCCCTTCTCAGCTTCATATGTTCTTTTGACAAGCATTTGTTGAGCAGCTATTATGTGCTGGGCCCCAAAGATGCACAGGTGAATAGAAAGGCAGATGGGCAAATGCATGTAATACTGTGCGGAGCAGTGTAGGCCAGTGCAAGTACTGAGAAAGCCATGTGGGGAAAGGACAGATTCTGCCTGGGTAACTTGGGGATGTCTTCACTGAGAAGGTGACATCTGCCCATGTTCACTTGTGGAAAACTGGAAGGGAACTTTAGGGCCAAGAAACAGTGTGAACCAGAGGATGTGTCTGGAGACAGTGAAAAGTAGTGTAACTAGAGGATTGTGATCTGGAGATTCAGGGGAGGCGGTGTGTGGCCTGACTTGAAAGATAACCTGGGGCCAGGTTCAAAGGGATCTGGTATCACCACTACAGACAAGTCGGACAATATTCTGAAGTAACGAAGAGCGACTGCAGATTTTCAGCAGAGTGACATTTGATCTGTGAGTGCAGTGCCTCTGGCTGCCAGGTGAAGTTAGGATTGAAGGGAGCTCAGTTAGGAAGCTTTTGCAATCACCTGGAGAGAGATGAGGAGGACCGTGCCAGGGTGGAGTATAGAAAAAAGAGGAAAGGCTAATAAGTGTTGCAGAGGAAGAACCAATAGAGCTTGGTGAGGAAGCCGATGGTGATGCCATTAACTGAAGTAAGGTCTGTAGGAAAGGTGTGGAAGAAGTGGGGAAGATACTGAGTTTGGTTTTGGAGGTAGTAGGTATCCAGGTGGAGCTGCCCAAGAGGCAGTTTGAACTGTGGGTCCAGGCCTCAGGAGTCAGCTGAAGATCTGTGACTTCAGGATTTAGATGATAGTGTAAACCTTAGGGACAGGTGAGACAGTCCAAGGACAATATGTATAGGAAAAAAAGAAAAGACAGTAGAGGAGACCGAGGGCACCTCAGGGAATACCAGCATTCAAGGGTGGCCAAGGTTTCACTGTAATTCACTTTTGGTTAGGATGTAGTGAGGAGAGCACGTAAAGGTCAGGTGGAGGAAGAGGAGGGAGCCACCAAAGAGGTCAGAAAAGTCAGCAATTATAGAGACGAGAGTATCCCCAACAGTAAGGCACGCTCAGAATGGCAGGAGGACCAGGAAGCCACAGGGTGAGAGGCTACTCAGAGATTACGTTTAAGTGCCCTTTGGAGCTCATGATTCAGAGCTCCCCAGGGTCAGTGAAAACTTGTGTGTGGAATCTCTTCTGCTTCTGAATGTCTTGTTGCTTTTTAGTTTTCACAGAAAAGAATTGGTATTTATAGACATCAGCTAATCAAAACATTCTTTCTAGTTGGAAAACTGACTGAACTGAGTATAACTTTTGATCTTTGACTCTTCTTGACAGTTCTTATTGTTTGCACTTCTTCAGGCTTTCTATTTCCCCTCTTCAAGCAGCAGATCTTGTTCTGTTTCTAGCCAGCCTGGAGAATCTTAGAGAAAGTTATAGCCAAAAGTTTTATGCTATATCAATTTGGTTATACTTGTTAGGTTCCATCAAGTCGGTTCTGACTCATAGTGACCCTGTGCACAACAAAATGAAACACTGCCTGGTCCTGCGCCATCCTCACAATCATTGCTACATTTGAGCCCATTGTTGCAGCCACTCTGTCAATCCATCTTATTGAGGGTCTTTCTCATTTTCACTGACCCTCTACTTTACCAAGCATGATGTCCTTCTCCAGGGACTGGTCTCTCCTAATAACATGTCCAAAGTATGTGAGATAAAGTCTCGCCATCCTCATTTCTAAGGAGCATTCAGGCTGTACTTCTTCCAAGACAGATTTGTTCATTCTTCTAGAAGCACATGGTATAGTCAGTATTCTTCACCAACACCACAACTCAAAGGCATCAGTTCTTCAGTCTTTCTTATTCATTGTCGAGCTTTCCCATGCATAGAAGGCAGTTGAAAATACCATGGCTTGGGTCAGGCGCAACTTAGTCCTCAAAGTGACGTCTTCACTTTTTGACACTTTAAAGAAGTCCTTTGCAGCAGATTTGTCCGGTGCAGTACATCGTTTGATTTCTTGACTGCTGCTTCCATGGACGTTGATTGTGGATCCAAGTAAAATGAAACTTTTGAGAACTTCAGTCTTTTCTCCTTTGTCATGATGTTGCTTATTGGTCCAGTTGTGAGGACTTTTGTTTTCCTTATGTTGAGGTGTAATCCATACTGAAGGCTGTGATCTTTGCTCTTCATTTCATCAGTAAGTACTTCAGGTCCTCTTCACTTTCAGCAAGCAAGGTTGTGTCATTTGCATATCGCAGGTTGTTAATGAGTCTTCCTCCAATCCTGATGCCGTGTTCTTCTTCATATAGTCCAGCTTCTCAGGTTATTTGCTCAGCATACAGATTGAATAAGTATGGTGAAAGGATACAACCCTGAGGCACACCTTTCCTGATTTTAAAGCACACAGTATCCCCTTGTTATACTAAAGCCTTTTAATCTGAACTCCTGTTAGTGTATACGATAGAGTTCATATCTTGTGTGTATTTAACTCACATAACTTCAGCTCTGCACATACAGAAAAGAGAAAGTGTGGTGTCCGTGGCACATTTGATGAGTCTGCCTGCCCCTCTCCTAGGTTGGAGTAGGTGGAAGTCTGTTTTCCCTCCATCTCTCACCAATCAGATACCTCTCATAGTGTCACTAAGTCTCCAAACAGATGATGATTTTGATATTTAAAGCAATTTAGTGTGTGTGTGTGTGTGTGTGTTAGTGTGTGTGTGTGTGTGTGTGTAATCCCATAAACATAAGCAAGGAGCCCTGGTGGCACAGTGGTTAAGTGCTTGGCTGCTAACCGAAAGGCCAGTAGTTTGAACCCACCGGCTACTCCGCAGGAGAAAGCTGTGGCATTCTGCTTCTGTAAAGATTTACAGCCTTGGAAACCCTATGGGGCAGCTCTGCTCTGTCCTATAGGGTCATTATGAGTTGGAATCAACTCGACTGCAATGGGTTTGGTTTTTTTGGGAAACATAGGCTACTTGAGCTGATGCTCAAAGAAATAGCAATCTGTTCCAGCAAGGGAGGAAGGAAGTTGGTTTGAGAGTTAGTCTGTTTCTAACGTATTTAAGAGATTCTTAAGGGTATTTTTGAGTATATACTATTTCCCCTTACATGAAGACCTGAGATCCTAGCGATCATACAAGGTGTACCTCCTTAGTTAGATACCAGGCGCCATAGAGTAGATTCCAGCTCGTGGCAGTTCTGTGAGTTGCATAGTAGAAGTGCACTCCATAGGGTCTTCATGGCTGTGATCTCTTGGAAGTAGATCACCAGGCCTTTCTTTTGAGGTGCCTCTGGGTGGATTTGAACTACCAACTTTTTGGTTAGTAGTCAAGTGCTTAACCCTTTCTGCCACCCAGAAACTCTATTAATTAGATACACATATAAGTGAAATCAGTCTTTCTCTGTCATTCTTTGGAAGAAACACCAATACTACGTTTGGGAAAAAGGACCACAAGACGAGTACAAAGCAAAGAGGATAATTTGAAACCTTCTAGTATCCTGAGTTCCGGAAGAGATTTGTCTACTGGGGAGTAAGAGCAGGAAGGTGTGTTAGTGAAGGGTCCTGAGGGGCCATTGAAGTGATGGGCTATCAGGGACGTGTGACACATTGAAAAGAGTTGGGATCATGGGTCAACAGCCTTAACTTCTCATCTCAAGTCTGCCAGTCATGGGGAGTAGAAAGTGCTTAACCTCCTTTGGCCTTAACTTTCCTTGTGTGTGGATGGGGAAGTGGAGCTTGTCTGCAAGGTTTAAAGGACTCTAGATGAATTTGCTTAGATGGAACAGGGGAAACGTGAGCAAATGGGAAGATCCAGGGAAAGGGAGGTTTTACAGATCTGGTTGGAGTTCTACCTTTTATAACAGTTATGATTACCATCATTTTGGTAAGCCTTCACATAGGGAAATGACATTATTAGACACGTTGGCAGCGTGTTTGAGCCTGAACTGAGGAGGAAGAAGGTGCACTAATGCCCGTGGTTTTCACCCAGAAGAGAGAGTTCTTGAACTGGAGCAATGCCTGTTAGATGACTTGGCTCCCTTTTGACTTAACATAAGCATAGTCCATTTTATATCTTCTTGATACTATTCTTTTTCCCTCCTCTTCATCTCTCAAGGAGCCCTGGTGGCACGGTGGTTAAAGCTCTCGGTTGCTAACCACAAGGTTGGCGGTGTGAACCCACTAGCCACTCCGCGGGAGAAAGATGTGGCAGTCTTCTTCCGTAAAGATTTACAGCTTTGGAAACCCTGTGGGGTCGCTATGAGTCGGAATCGACTTGACGGCAGTGAGTTTGGTGTTTTATTTTTGGTTTTTTCGTCTCTCCATCAGTCCAAGTCCTGTATCACGTGCAAGACCCAGGACAAGGCTCTTGGAGAAAGCTTTTCTCACTGTTCTGGTTCACATTAATCCTTCCCTTCTGTATTCCTGTGGCATTTTCTGTTTATAATACGCAGAGCAGCAATCTTTTCAACAATATTTACTGATGATTTATGCATAGTCCTTCAGTTCTAGACAGATTTGTAGATTACTTTGTTTGGTTTCTTTTTTATTTTATATATATATTACCTGTGGCCCCCCAGCAAGCATGTAAGTTCCTTAATAAATACTGTTCTTTTTGTTTTGTGTCATTTTTTTTTCTGTAGAGCTTTCATTGTTGAGGTTCCTCAGTGCTGAACTAACAAGAGGGTACTTCCTTGAACATAATGAGGCCAAGTATACAGAAAGAAGAGAAAGAGTATACACTTGTATGCGAATACCAAGAGAATTGGAAAAGGTACTTTTTTTTTTTCATTACCAGACATCATTTGAAAGTTATGTCAAAATGTGAATTATGGAAAAAAAAAGAAAAAAAAATCCCGTAAAAAGCTTAAGTTTTTTTAAATACTGGAAAAAATTTGATCATAAATAATTAATATATTGGGGGAGTAGGGCGTAGGAATTCCCATATGGGAAGAGGCTTTTAAAAATTTACCTTTTTAATGTGAGAAGGATCCTGTGATATAATATTAATATTTTTGTTAGTTGCCATCGAGTCAATTCCAACTCATTGTAACTTTGCTCCTTATGAACTTATCATATTTCCCTTTGTGCCCCAGCCAAATAAGTTTACCAAGGAATTAATCTCTCCTGTGCTGTTAGTTCTTTTAGTTTTGTTTACTAGAAGCAGGTTTGTTTGTTTTTTTTTCACCCCATTTCACTTCAGAAATTATTTACTTTCAGCCCTTTTTTTAAGATTTGTTTCTCAGAAAGCCCACATATTTAAAAACATAAATACAGTCTTTTCAAAGAAGATTTTGATTTTTGTTTAACCTTCATCAGAGAAAGCATCACATTATAGAGTAATCATAGTAACAGCGGCACTAAATCTTTATACATTATATTCCCCTGATTATGTCTTAGCCTCTCAAGACCCATCAGGCATGACAGGACAGCCACTCATTTCCTCTGCATTGCTAGAGCCTGAGCAATTCTGAAATTTCTTGCTAGAAGGAAAGAATTAAAAAATAATTCACCTTTAGCTATATTGAAACATCATGTTTTCATACTTTTTATAGTAACATAAACTTGGATTACTTCACTCATTTCCTTAGGACAATGCTTTCTATTGGAGTGGACACCAGAAGAGTTTTGCTGGCTTGCTTTATCAGTGTGTTATAATAGCAAGAGTGTGGCAACAGTGAGAAGTATGGACCCAGCTGGTTTGGCTGATCTTTTATTTTTGACAACCCATCAGTTTGAAGGAAGGAAGAGAGCCAGATGTAGAGTGACAATTTCAGAAACGTTGCTTTACATCAGTTCTTGGTGGGGTGTCACATGCTGAGGTTTTAGGGAGTTCTGTATTAGGGGTGAGATTTAGAGAGATCATGAGCAAGCAAATATTTGAGAGAGAACAAACATGAAAATGAAACCGTTTGTTACCTTTGACCAAGATCATTAAGTGTCCTTAGCGAAAAAGAGGGAGACACTCACCAAGATAGATTGACAACAGTGGCTGCAACAATGGGCTCGAACAACAACGATTGTGAGGAGGATGGCGCAGGACTGAGCAGTGTTTCGTTCTGTTGTACATGGGTTCGCTATGAGTTGGAACTGACTCAACAACAACAACAACAGTTACTATTTTACTGCTGCTGCCGAGGTTCCAGGGAAGAGCCAGAAGGAGTGAGATATGCAGAGGGAGAAGGAGCACGAGAAGGACTGGGTGGCCACTCCACAGCACCCTCCCTGACCAGAGCAGCAGCTCTGTTTTATGTATTGAAGTTTTATGTAGGATTTTGTCCGGAGGTGGAAAGTGGGGGGAAAGGATGCTTCTTACGCTTGGGGAAAAAAAACTTAAACCAATTGTTAAGTTTTTTTTTTTTTTTTTAAAGACTTTTAACTTGCTTTTCACAGCTTACTTTCTTCTTTTCAATAATAAGCCATGAGATAGAATGGAGGACGTACTGCAGAGGCTGATTGGCAGGAGGTCTGCTGTGGCTGGCATTCTTGTTCAGGACAGTGCCAACCACATTCAGCTTTCCCCTGTCCAGTCTCAGCCCTACACATATATGAGCAGTTTCAGACCCCCATTTTCCTCTGGAGAAGACACAGAGGGATTTACCTGCAACCTGCGGACCCAGCCTCTATGGACAAAACCTGGGGACTGCTTCAAAACGGGGAGGTGTCTGTCTGACGCCTTTTATTACCTCTCCTGTAGCAGAAATAATGAGCAATGACAACATCCACTTATGATTCTGTTTTCTCACCAGAGGCAAGTTGCAATCAGTATTATTATTATTTTTTTTTTTTTTAAGAAAAATCAGTCTATTGCCTGTACTATGGGTAAATATTATTTCATGGAACTTTGGTTTCATTTTTATGTACGTAAAATGTATAACATCAGAAAAGTTGAATATGTGGAACTTCCTGGGTGGTGCACATGGTTAAGCACGCAACTGCTAGCTGAAAGGTTGACAGAACCCACCCAGAGGTGCCTGGAACACAGGTCTGGCAATCTACTTGCAAAAGGTAGCAGCCTTGAAAATCCATGGAGCAGTTCTACTCTGTACACTTGGATTGTCATGAGTTGGAATCAGTTTGACAGCAACTAACAACAACAGCAATACACAATTGTGTTAATTTTCTAATCCAGTTTGTTACCCATGAAAGAGGCTTTTGGCTTTAGGCCTATTTAGGAAAATTTGATTTAATTTCTCAAAACAATACTTCGGAAGCTTTCAACCTTAAGATGTACAAACGGATGTCATATTTTTCAGTCTAGAGCAGTTTTTTCTTAACTTCTAAGACTAAGTGAAGTGTAGAATTAGGTTTTGGCTGAAAGCAGAGAATACCAGCAAGATGTTTATCTGTGTTTTATTGACTGCACAAAGGCATTCGATTGTGTGGGTCATAACAAATTATGGATAACATTGTGAAGACTGAGAATTCCAGAACACTTTAATTATGCTCATGCAGAACCTGTACATAGACCAAGAGGTTGAACAGAACAAGGGGATACTGGGTGGCTTAAAATCAGGAAAGGTGTGCGACGGGATTGTATCCTTTTACCATACTTATTCAATCTGTATGCTGAGCAAATAATCCAAGAAGCTGAACTATATGAAGAAGAACGGGGCATTGGGATTGGTGGAAGACTCATTAACAACCTGCGATATGCAAATGACACAACTTTGCTTGCTGAAAGTAAAGAGGGCTTGAAGCACTTACTTACGAAGGTAAACAACTACAGCCTTCGATATAGATTACATCTCAACATAAAAATCCTTACAACTGGACCAGTAAACAACAACCTGATAAATGAAGGAAAGATTGAAGTTGTCAAGGATTTTATTTTACTTGGATTCACAGTCAGTGCCATAGAAGCAGCAGTTAGGAAATCAAACGATGCATTGTATTGCGCAAATCTGCAGCAAAAGACCTCTTTAAAGTGTTAAAAAGCAAAGATGTCATCTTGAGGACTAAGGTGCGCCTGACCCAAGTCATGATATTTTCAGTCGCCTCGTGTGCGTGGGAAAGCTGGATGATGAATAAAAAGACTGAAGCAGTGATGCCCTTGAATTACGGTGTTGGTGAAGAATACTGGATATGCCACGAACTGCCAGAAGAACTAACAAATCTGTCTTGGAAGAAGTACAGCCAGAATGCTCCTTAGAAGCGAGGATGGTGAGACTTCGTCTCACGTACTTTGGACATGTTATCAGAAGGGATCAATCCCTCCAGAAGGACATCATGCTTGGTAAAGTAGAGGGTCAGTGAAAAAGAGGAAGACCCTCAATGAGATGGATTGACAATAGTTGCTATAACAGTGGAATCAAACATAGTAGTGATTGTGAGGATGGCACAGGACCAGACAGTGTTTTGTTTCATTGTGCATAGTCACTGTGAGTTGGAACGTACTCGATGACACCTAACAACAACAGGTTTCAGTTTAATTCCAGGCTTAACTATCTCTCGCAACAGCATGAATACACTATGATATTCTTAAGGCCTTTATTTCATATCAGTAGGATTTTACTTAAGACTGTTATAAGACTTGAGAGACTATCTAGATAGTCATGTTAATCTAAATTATTTTTGATTGGTTTCCATTTGTTTACATTTCTATTCTAATGTGTAATACCTTTCTCATTTTTTTCTCCTCATCTTTTGGTAACTGCTGTGATAGTTTCACCCAACCTTTTTTGGAAGAGAAACTTGAAAACTAAAGACCACTGTAAAACATGTAATTAATATTTATTTTTAAAGTCAAGAGAAAGGTCATCTCAGTCACTCTTATTGAACCTGTTTACTAATGTAGAACAGTCTTAGAATTTTTGTGTAATATTCTCAGTAGTTAAACACCTATGCTTGACATTTAATAGAGCTGAATTGCTTATATATTTAAGATAGTATTTCCAATTATTAGCACCTTTTTTCACACTTTAACTTCTCATTCTAATGTGAGGGTATAAAATTTTGGAGTGTTTTGTTGACTTTTGAGGGGCATTTCTTCTCTTCCACCACAAAACCCCCTCTCCCTCACACATACCTCCTTGGGTTCTTGTCCCAGACCTTCCACTAACTCCTTAGGTGCTATACTTAACCCTTGGGGCTTTTTTTTTTTTCACTTCCACACAGCTGAGGAGATTGAACTACACTTTGCATCCTGTGTTATGAGGCAGGCATGAATTCTAAAGCCAGACTGCCTGAATCTTGGCTCCACTATTTATTGGCTGTGAGGCCTTGAGCAATCCCCTTATCCTTCCTGTGCCTTAGTTTTCTCGTCTGTAAAAAATGTGTGTGTGTGTGTGTGTGTGTGTTAAATGTATTAATTACATAGTAAGCCTATATAAGTGTTTAAAGTATTTTGTAGTTCTTTACTTCAGCAAGTTAGGGGAGTGCCTTGCCCTGGTAGAACAATAGGGATTTATAAAAGTTAAAGTGAAGAGGCGTGGCTAATTAGCTTCTTGTTTCCAGGTTGCATTCCAGTGGCTGTCTCTTTGCAGTAGGCAGAGTATTATCTGGGGGTGGGTACAGTGGAGTGACAGAGGAGGCCTGGTTTCCAGGGTGCTCCCATATCTCAGTTGTATCTCATGTTATACTTTTAATCTCCTTGCTTTGCTTGCCACTGCACTTGGCTGCTCTAACCCTGCAAGGGAATGATTCTCTGACTCAGCCCAGTCCTCTTGGATTGCTGACCGCAGGAGGAGGAGTCTGTAGGGAAAGCTGCGTTCTCCTCCCTCTTTTGGCTAGGCTCTCTTGGAGTAAAGCTTACCTCTTTGGTGAAGAACTTAG